GCTAAAGTCGTTCAAATGAACTCAAATGAACTTCAAATGAACTCAACTTCAAATGAACTCAAACGAACTTCGCCGCGCAATTTGCTGCTTGCAACGTAAGTCCACACACCCGTTGGGCTACGCCATGCATTCGTTGCTTCCTGTTCCTCCGATCAGCAAAGAATTGCTTTTAAGATCAGCGAGAGAGGAGACTTCTTTTACATTTCAGAGAATTTGAAGGCTACGCGAGTTTTTTTGAGTTAACTATGTAATAGAGCCTATATAATTTCGAGTCGAAACAGGGTATTCCGACATCTGCTATCGTCGTAAAGAAGTTACTTTGACCAACTTCCACAGAATGGTCATTGAATTCTTTCTCTAGGGATAATCTGTATGTGTGACAAGTTTAACTGTAGGAGATCTTCTTAATCGATCTTCACGTTTCCAGTACTCCCTCCTTGATCTTCTCCATCCTCCCTTTTGCAGTTATAAATGACCTTCACGATCGGTGATTGCTATCATCGATTTCGTGAGCAATGAGTTCGAATAGCTTACAAACAGGATGAAGTTGAAGGTGACATACTGGCGAGACAGTTACCGTATAAAGGCTGGCAAAGCGGAGAGGACGTGAGGTTCAACACATTGTCTGCAATTCGGTAACTTGTGGCTAGCTACCGTAGACCATTCATTTTCGACAGTCCAATTGCCTCATGGCCTTCTTCTTTAACCTTCTAAACTTCTTGAATGTAGATGTTTCTTCACTGGATTGGTTTTCTGATTAGTTGCTCATGTCCTTCCTTTGATGCTCTTCTACCTTGTCTAAAAAGATTGTTTCTAGATTCTAATGGGTGTTGAGAGGCTCGAGAATGCAAATCCCCAAATTTTCTCCGTAAAACACCATAGACGGGCGACCACGGCTGATGAAATGTGAGTTTTGTCACGTGTTATTTTGAATCAGTGAGAAATTTCATAAGTCAAACTTTCAGTTCTTTCCACAATTGATAATTAGCCTCTGTTTATATGACTTTTGGGTTTCAGGATGTTTAGTCCTAATTTCTATTGGCCTCGAAATATTCTTTTCAGAACTTTGGTAGTCTGAGTAAATTATGATCTGTTTTTTGAAGTGTTGTAAAATTCATAGATTATCTAAAAAGCTATAGGATTATGTGAAGTTTGTTAGTAAGAATTGTAAATGTTGGAATGTTTTCCGGTAATTCGTTCCGGTTTTTTGGTTTTGATTTTTTTTGAAAAGGTACATTCTGCTGAAATCTCCATGGAGTCCTTCAAAGATATATCTGGTTCAGGGATGAGTCCGTTGAAGATCCTATAGATGCTCTTGAAATATTCGATCTTATTCGCGACATCAACGACCCCGAGCATCCATACACGCTTGAGCAACTCAATGTCGTCCAAGAGGAACTCATAAGAGTGCAGAAAGATTCTAAACACACCTACGTGGATGTAAGCAAGTATTTCTATATAGTTTTTTTCCGATTATTACTTGTAATTTGTTCTAAAACGTCTTTTCTAAAGATTTTTTGTAGGTGCGATTTACCCCAACGATTCCCCACTGTAGTATGGCTACTTTGATTGGGCTCGCAATCCGCGTCAAGCTGGCTCGCTCATTACATCCCAGGATTAAGGTAATCAATTTCAATTCTTTTCTGCTTTTAAGCAAACCTGTCACGGGAAATCAAGAAGCTCCTCAGTAGCAGTTATAGAGGTTCCATACACTCCTACAAGTCTGACCTAGAATCGCTCATTTTCACCGATTGTTCTGGGGGTATGGCTTTTCAGGGTATGTGGACTTCCATGCGTGCGAGGATGGGCGCGGCGAAGTTAACGATTTTAGCGCCTATCGTTGGGTCCCAAATTCGAAGTAAATAGATTAGAAGGATAATCTGACTTAACTGAACTACTCTTCTTCGAACCCCGATAATTGACGTCAGAATCATACAAATCGTCACGAACTTCGCCGTGCAAGTTGCCGCGCGCATCCTCGGACGCACGTAAG